TCAAATTAAAATAATAATAATAAATAAACATAATTAAATGAATAATTTTAAAATAAAATGATGGATACTTATTTATATTTTTATGTTTATCTTATATTAAAGGGATCTTTATATTTGTAATGTCCATTTTATTTATTTAAAGAGACTTTTGCTATAGGGCGCATGTACTTGCCAGAGAGACAGAGGGAGACAGAGAGACAGAAATGAGAAATCACCCCCCCACCCCCCGGGGGTGATGGCTATGTTGTAATCCCTCCTCTTCCATTCTCCTCTCAGGATTTTGGGCATGCATACACAAGTGCCCAGTGTGAGTTTTTGTTGTTGTTTAAAGAATTATTTAACTTTATTTTTTTATTTTAATTTGACCAGAGTGAGAGAGAGAGAGATGGAAAGTGAGAAAGCAAGCCACCAGGTCTGGGACTCAAACCACAGTCGGCCGTGTGGGAGTCCAGTGCCCTTAATCACCATGCCACCTGCTGGCCTTGCCCAGTGTGAGTTTTAAGCCACCAGATCCAGGACTCAAACCTTGATCAACTATGTGGGAGTCCAGTGACATAACCACTATGCCATCTGTTGGTCCCAACAATGTCCATTTTAAATGTAAATATAAGGGCACTCATGTATAAGCAAAATTTAAATTATTGAAATTATACAGTTCATATTGTGTAGCTCGTGCATGCATGTGGTTTTTTCTTACCTGAACGATGGGTAAACTACCCAAAATTAACTTAACTGTTTTTATTTTATTTCTGCTTTTAATTTTTAATAATTATTTTTATTTTGTTATTATTTTTAATTTGACCAGATAGAGAGATAAAGGAGAAAGTGAGAAAGCAAGTCATCAGGTCTGGGATTCAAATAGCAGTCGGCCATGTGGGAGTCCAGCACCTTAACCACCACACTACCTGGCAGCCCCTAACTTCTGTTTTTTTTTTAATTTGCCAAAGAGCATATGCATTTGCCAGAGACAGTGAGTAAGTGAGAAAACATCCCGCACCAGGGGGAATGGCTATGCTGCAAATCCCCTCTCTATCCCCTCTCTTCCATTTCTCCCTCCTTCAGGGATCCTGGTGCACACACACGTGCACTCGTCATGTTTTTCAAGCTGTCAGGTCTGGGACTGAAACTGCACAATTGTTCATGTGGGGGTTCAGCCACTTTAACTGCCACACCACCAGGTGGCCCTATTTTATTTTTTCTATAGGGCGCTTGTGTGCTCATCAGAGACACAGAGAGACAGAAAGTGAAAAATAACCCCCGGGGGGGATGGTCACCTACAATCCTTTCTCCTCTATTCTCCTCTCAGGATGTTAGGCACACAAGCACTCACGCCTAGCATGAATTTCAAGCCTCTAGGTCTGGGACTCGAACTGCCATCAGCCATGTCGCAGTCTAGCACCTTAACCACTCTGCCACCTACTGCCTTCCCCCCACCCCCCACCCGCGTTTTACTTTTCGATTCATGCGCAGTCTCTCAACTTGCTCCACCTGCAGCTTAGTGCTGAGGAAGCAGGACTGAGAAGAAACTGTGGGTGGCCAGATCTCTACCTGTCCTGCCCCAGTAGTCCAGCCTCAGTGGTGGCTTATAACATGAGGGACATAACACGAGTAAAATAGGCTGTTGCAGGATGCTCAGGTCCTGGGTGCTCCTCGGAATGCTCTGGCACTTGGTGAGTTCTGGTCGGAACCATGGCTGTGGCCCCCCAGGGCAGGCGGGGTCCCACTTGCCCAGCTGTAGACATAACGGGCTTACCTGGTACTCGCTTTGAGTCTCGTTGAGCTCCTGCAGCCTGGGTCCACAGGATCCCGTGTGCTTGGGCAACGCAAGCACTAGGTGCACCTGGGGCGACCAGGGACACCCAGCTGTAGCGCCCCTGCTCATGCGCATGCGCCGCTGTTCACCGACTTCACTTAAACATTTCCAGACCATTATGACAGAGCATTAAACTAAGCAGCCCTCCTGAGCAGACCCCTGCCTGACGCCAGCCACCTCCTCGGAGCTGACCGTGCTTCCATCCTCGTCCCTCCATCGCCATGGGACGGAAAACTCCCAGGAAGGTTTTTGACCCATGCAACTCAAGTCACACTCCCTTCCTTGACCCATCCCTCTCCTGAGTCAGGTGCGCGGACTGATCCAGCCTGAGTCAGGCACCCACTGGTAGCTGAGTTGAATGTGGGGTATTGATTGACTGCCCCCAGGAGACTAAAGCATGTC